TCCGACTTCCTTCTAACAGTTCCCATCTTCTCAGGTTCGCGCTAGTTTCTATCACGCTTATTGTGTTTGATACCGCTATTTTCTTCCCAATATCGTGGGGAACCCAGAATTCAGTGTGAGGTGCGTTACTTTTTCCCGTGTTACACTGGTCAAATCCAAAAGGGCCTGACGGTTAATGATCCTAATGTATATGCTGTAACAGTTGGAATCTTATACGGTACCTTTGCACAATTGGGTATAGAAATCCAGCTACCCGGTACCAAGCCTTTCACAGCGACTGGTCCTGGAGATACCGAGGCTTTGGTTGGCCAAATTCTTAAAATTACTAAAGACAAAGAGGTCATTGATAGTGGAGTACTCAAGTCATTACATAAATATTAAAGAATCGAAATTTTATTTTTTTAAAAAAAATTTTTAATATGATAACCTTTGAAAGGAAATAAACCAACTATAAAATAAATTTTTAGTAAACAATTTCCATTTGTGGTAAGTATTAATATACTGTAAATTTAATATATTATTATTAAACTATTTCTTTTCTTTCGTTTGTCATTGCATAGTTCTAAATTATTATAGGGCACTATAAATTTTAAACTTGTATGGTATGTTTGTGTATAATAGTTACTGTAAGTATATCTTCTACATGCCTTAATTACATCAGAATTTCTTTCGGTTTTAATATTAATTACAGTAACTTTTTACAATATTCACTATCAAAACTATTCTAAACAATTTTTATAACATCTTACAATTCACTTTTATTTGTCAATAGTTAATCAAATACAATAATTAAATTTTCAGAAACTATTTTTTAGTTAATTTAACCATATGTTTCAAATTATTTATCTTTTTAAAAAATAATTTAATTCTTATTAAACCCAAGCTATAAATGTGTATTAAATAATCTATTGCATAAAATTTATCAATGGTATTTTTTATTTATTGTTTTTTTAATTACAAGATTTTTAAATTACTTGCAATTAAACAAATTTAAAGTAAAAATTTTATATAATCATTAAATTTAAATTTTTAGTTTAATTGTTAATAATTTATAATTTATTTTTTTTTCCAGATAAAAAATGTTTTGTGCATGTACTTTTTATTGAGTTATTTATGTCTAATTACATATACACTAAGATCCATTTAAGTTAACCTTGCTTTATACCTATAGACTTACCCAGTGTACCAATTGAACACCACGGAGATGGATCTGCATCCTGGGTAGGATCTTTAAGAGATAAAAATACTATTACTAGTTTTAAACTATCTAACCTAATATAGATTCTGTCTTAAATGTATCTGTTATGAAAGAGGCACAATTATTACCTTTCAAGGGTTTTTGTAAAACACCTGGATATCCTGTATATATTTTTTTATCCAGAACCTCAGAAAAAGTAAGTTACTTTTTGTCACTACTTGTAGCTTCAAATTATATCAAGTACATATTCAAGATATAGTCTTCTTTTAAGCAAGTGCCAGATTGGGATATTACCAGGCTAGGGCATTTTTTGTGCGTTAGAGTTTGCTATCACCAGTTTGGATTAGAGTTTTGTGGGTTTATACTGAAGTTAGACCAGAAGTCTTTCCTTATGTAATCTTCTTTGCTTCAATCTGTTTTCAGCTCATGATTGTCAGAAAGATCAAAGGTCTTATCTTCATACAGCCTAACTAAATTTAAAAATTGATTGTTGACTGATTGGGTACAATATGAATTGAAAGCTAATTAATCAATCATAAAGGTGATAAATTTTTGTAATCAGATAGGTTTAAACCTTAAACCTTTTCCTGATGACTTATGAAGCATTACTACTATACTATAGATCTATAGGTTTAATTGTTAATAATTTATTTAATTTTTAACAAACAAATATTTATAAATAAATAAAAAATATTTTTATTTAATAAATTATTTGTTTTCAGTTTTCAATTATCTTTTTTATTATAAGATCTTTTTTTTTTAATTTATTGTATTTTTTAATTCAATTGTAACTTATAAATATAGTCTGTTAAAAAAGTCTTTAAACTTTTGAATTTGATTTGACTTATAATTTTGTAAATAATTAACAAAACAAATCAATATTTACAGTATATATTTCTTATTTATATCTTTAAAGATTATAATTATTAAAAAACTTTTTTTTATTATATAATAAAATTATTATCAATTTAAATTTAAAAACAAAAGGCTTATTAAAAATAATGGATTTTTTTTATTAACAATAAAAAAATAATTATAAATTATTAAACTATTTTGATAAATAAATTCTTTTTTTTTTTTTGGTAAATATCAGTTCTTTATTAATGTATATACTTGGATATAACTATAAGTAAGAATCTATATCTCTCATAATACATGAGTTAAATGCTAGTTTACCAAAATATCTATCTAAATTATATTAAAAAAGAAAATTTAAAACTAATATATTGTCTAGATAGTTGTATGACAGGTCATGTAATTTTTAAAAAAAAAAAAAAAAAAAAAAAAAAAACTAGACATATATAAAAAAAATTGCACTTATGTTATCTAGTTATAGAAATATTTTTAATGAGTCGATGAATGAAATCAAAGTTTGAAAATCATGAATAGAAAGATCTAAAGTAGTGTAGATAATTAGAAGACGAGAAAGACATGAAAAAAATAAGCGATGTATAAGTTGGTAACATCATAAAAAGAGAAAGATCATTGTATTCTCAGAAATGAAGTTTAGTAAGTTCAAACCTTAAATAATAAATTTCATTACGTTGCCCGATTTTCCAATATACTTGTAACTTATTAGTGTGGCTGATGGAAAAACAAGAGCTTGTGATTGCTAGCAGAAAATATTACAGTATTATACGTATACGGAAAATTTGATGATACGGTATATTGTAACTTTATTAACCTTATTAATTATACTCAAATAATATTAACATTATTACTTTATTAAAGTACGTAATCTTCAATAATGCGATGCTATATTATAAGTTTTAACCTGACTTTTTATTTCCTTTCCTCCGATATTATTAAAGTCTAAAAGTCTTTTTACTCTCTTTTCTTTTTGAAGATCAGTCTTACCTTTAATAAATCGAAAAATATGTTAGCCTCTAATTTTTAATTCGATTTGTTGTGCTCACATTTGAACTCCTGCTCAAATTTTTTCTTAAATCTTTTATCTTACGCTAAGATAATTTCATAATAAAAATACTCCCAAAATAGTTAAGAATGAGTGTCACAAGCTCGTTTGCTACGGTTTGTGATTACTACTAAAACAAAAGGGATCCAATTATATTACTACGTAGTAGAAGAGAGATTCAAAGTACACTATATGACGAGCCCTTGGGTTAAAATATTGCCGTGTCATCAAAACAAAGAAACACGAATACGTAGTGTTTATGGGTTAGAGATTCAAAGTACACTATATGGCGAGCCCTTGGGTTAAAGTATTGCCGTGTCATCAAAACAAAGAAACATGGATACGTAGTGTTTATGGGTTAGAGACTCAAAGTACACTATATGAAGAGCCCTTGGGTTAAAGTATTGCCGTGTCATCAAAACAATGAAACACGAATACGTAGTGTTTTTGGGTTAGAGATTTGACTACCTCAAAGTACACTATAAGACGAGCCCTTGGGTTAAAGTATTGCCGTGTCATCAAAACAATGAAACACGCATACGTAGTGTTTATGGGTTAGGGTGTCAGGTTACGGTGCAGGCTGAATACTGTATGTGTAAAATCGTCTGATTCGGCGCGTGATTTGCCAATTCCGTCGATTTTATTTATACGTACACGACACGCTATAAATCGTACTAAGTATCATATTATTTTAAATCGTGGTTTATTTATTTTAACGCTATATAAATCTATTGGTTAAGCCGACATTGCTGATTTAACGACCAAAAGTCGATACAGTAGTCAATTCTCGATAAAAGAAACATTGTACAAACTTTCTATAATTAGTATTTTTATTAGATAAATTGACAATTGTTATTTTAGTTATGATCATCGATTTTTCCGGGCCCCGGTTTATTTAAAACACGGGGGGTTTTCGAAAAATCATGATTTTAAAAAAGAATCTGTTAATTTTTTTAATACCCTATGATCAAAATTGATTTAATTTATATATTTATTAAAACGACTAAATATATACTATTTATAAAATTTTCAGTCAAATTTAATCACTAGGTATTTAAAAAACTGTTGTATGCAATAGTTAAAATCTTTTATCATATAGGATGAATTTTTTTTTATATTTAGTGATGAAATTTAACCAAAATTTTTATAAATAACGTATATTTTGTTTTTATATTAAATCTATAAATTTAAACCAATTTTGATTACTAGTTATCAAAAAAAATCATAAATTATAACAATAGCAAATTATTATTACGTAATTCGAAGTTGATGCATTAAATCACTAAAATTAATTTAGCTAATTGAGGTATCATATAGTTAAATATGGTATTTTAATAACCAAAAATTTCTTTTATCAAGTGTTGGCCGTATGTTTATTTTTGTGTATTTTTTTTTCCTTTATAGAAACTTCGATGGTTTTTACGCTTAAAATATAGTACTGTAAAAGGGACACCGTTAATAATTGACAATAGAATTATATTTTAACCGAACTTTCATATAAATACGATAACTGTTTGTTATTAAATTCTCAAATTTTCGACAATGCATCACACATTTTATCTTTATATTGCGATATTCAATTCCTTTTTCTTTTCGGTTTACGCGGACAATGATGATCCGATGCCTGACTTATTCGATCAGTTCATTAGCGTGATCGTTCCTCTAATAATCTTCTCATTATTCGATATAAACATCGATAATATAAATAACGTACATTGGTTCAAAGTCAAACTTTTTTTTGATGACATATTGTTTTTGTTGACTCTTTATATTCTACCAATTTTTGTCATGGTAAAAAGCAGAGAAACACAAAATACGCCAATGTGGGTCATAATTATTTATAGTATATCAGCATTCGTTGTCGTGATCATTATAGTCCTAATAAGATTTATTAAATATAATGATCCACTTTTTCAAAAATTTCTTGATAAAAATGTGCCTTCTGGTAATCTACTTTTCCCGATAGTTCTTGGCGTTCAAGTAGTTTCGGACTTCTGTTTTTTATTTTATTCTCTCGCCATTGATTCAAACGAGTCAAAAATATTTGTATATTTACATGCAGTTAGCGGAATTATGACTGGTTCAGGTCTATTAGTCGATCTTGTTCCCACTGCATTAGCATTTATATTCAAAAAAAGAAATTTTTTTGAATTAAAGAAATATTTAACTATGTATGAAGGACTTGGTGTTTCTATTCTCATGCTTTATATCCCTTTTATTCAGATGTTAAATATGGTGTTACTTTCGGACAATAATTATTATTTGAAAAAGTTAATATTTGCTTCGAATTTAATCTACATTTCTAGGGTCTTGAATTATTTGAACGATGCTTATTTTTACTACGATAATATGATAGAAAAAGGTTACAAATCTTTGATAGTGGTTTTTATTCACGGCATTTGTCGTGATTATGAATGGGGTGGGAAATCACAATTTCGAAGAATTTATTTATTTCTCAAATATGGTGGCGATGATACAAAACTTGTAGTGAAAAAAAATCATCGAGTAGGAAGAATTATCAAAGTTAAAGACGATGAATCCGAGGAAGAATTTAAAGACCAACCAAAAAAAAAAGTTGGGCTCGGCACATTGGCATAAATTATTTCACAATTCTCGTAAATTTTTTTGATTAATAAAATAAAATCTTTTTTATCAAACTTTTATCACGGTTAGTAAAAATTTAAAAAAATTTTGTACATCCACGACATCAACGAATGATTGTGAATCTCCATGGTGCTTCAGCCATTTTGGATTAAATATAAAAGAGGAATAAATTTTATGAACATCTTTTTTTTTTATAAAATTTGTTTAAAACTTTTTTATATATCAGATATATATATATTTATTTACTTGTTAAAAGAGAAACCTGTCTCACAAACTTTCTTAAAAGAGTAAATATTATTACGTATTACATGTTTAATACCAAGTCATGAAATTTATCTATTACCTATTGTAGTAATATATTTCTAAAATCTTGAGACAAGAAAATAAAAAAGATCATTTACTTGTATCCTGTTGAAAACAGAATATGAAAAAAAAGGCTTCTCTCTTTGATTAAAAAAAAAAAGATACAGTATATGTATGATCAGTTAATGACACACTGTTCACAAACACAACTGGTTAGACCATTATTCCTAAATGCTTTTTTATCACTAAAAACAATAGCAATGTTTTTTCTGTTTTTATAACCAATAAACAAATATATGATATGAAAAGATATTTATATATTGATATGTTGTTTAATTGAAATTAATTTAAGTTTATAGTAATTTGATTTGCAACTATTAGATAAAGTTGTTAAAATCTGTGCAAAATATCAATTATATACTTTTCTAATTTAATAAATTGTTGTATTATTTAGATTGTTAAATTTTTTTATAATATATATAAGAATCAATGGCTAATCAGAAAGCTATACAGTAAATAATCTGGTCTTAATTATTATTATTAAAAAACAAAGCTTTGAAACAAAATATTAACTTTAAAATCAATATTTAAAGTTATTTGAATATAATAATTATATTTTGTTAAATATATAATATAAAAATTTGGTTTTTATAGACTAAGAGTATATATTATATGATAAAATTTTCTCTTATCACTATATAGTTAATAAGAAGTCTGACATTCTTCTAGCTCAAGAAAGATAATGAGGTTGTCTGATTTATCAAATGAAATCTGACTTTCCTTGAGTTTCTGCAATGTCTAAAGGAGGTATCTAACCTGATACATGACTGACTATAGTAGTGGCAAAAATATTGGCTTTTTGAGATCTTACTGTAAATTAAAAGGTTTGATTTCTTCTTTCTTTTTTATAAAAAGAAGATAAATTGCTTATTGTTCACCTGTAATATTTATAAATTAACAAAGTTAATATTAATATATTTTAAATATTAGACCTATAGGTCTATAGCTCAGTGGTTAGAGCGCCATAGGTCTGTATCACAGGTTCCAGGTTCAAATCCACTAGGGGGCTAATGTGATTTCCCAAATAATGTGAGAACTTACATACCATTAGCATAACCAAATAACTGATGTCTCCAATTATAGAAAAAACTAATCTATAAGAGGACTGTGATATGATCGTCATCTGAAATTGGCTAGGATTATTCCCGACATGATCATGTTGCCAGAAGTGGTAATAAGAAGAGTAGATCCCAAACTGGTAGAGTGCCACTGAAGGATTCCTAATGGCTGCATTAAAGGATACTAATCAAGCATTTGGCTATGCTGGCTTATGCAGACTTTACTATCGGGAGATCTTGGTGGGAGATAAAAACCATGGACTACTTCGAAGGACCGAAAACTAGGGTTCAGGATACTGAAATCGATGGCCTGATAACCAGACTACTCTTAAGAATAAAATTGTTCTGGAAAAAATTAAGATGGATTCACACATCTTTCTAAAAACAGAAGTTTAGGTAATATTTATATATAGCATTAAGTTAGTGATATATAGCTAGTCATATATAAATAAGTTAACTATAAACATATATGTTGTTGGCAGGGAACTGATATAGGGCATGACCGCACAAACACATTCTGGCACGTCATGTTCTCTGATTTGCAATAATCTGGGACCTATAGTCCATAGCAACATGTAAAAGTAATAATGTAATTTTAGGAAGCTTAAATTAGCCATAATCTTAAAAAAAGCTTATTGATTACAAATAGTCTATCAGAGATTAAAGGGGATCACATGGCATAATTGTAGCTTAGCAAGGGTATACAAAATAAGATAAAAAGAAGGAATCGAAAAAAGGATAAAGAGAGTCATGTAGTACGCAGTACGAATAATAAGAAAAACTGTTTCCTAAATTAAAACCTTCTTAATTAGGACGTATGTTTATCATTACCAAACCAAGTAAAAACTAATTAACTTACCTAATCCAGTACTTGTCACGAGATAGAATGGCTGAGACCACAAAAGGAAAAAGTGTTAAAGATTTGTCAAAAGAAGTGAACAATGGAAAAAGAAGGAAAGCATTAGTAGAACTCAACTAAACAACTCACACGCCTCAAGTTGAGAAGCTAAATACTTACTGGACGTTATACAAGAAGTGCTTAAGAGAAGCGACAGACTCGTCGAGAGAGATGTCAACATTAGCAATTGAAATAACTAACCAAGAAATTAAGTGGACAGCATCCCAAGGCATCAATACAAGTGTTATATAAAAAAAGTGAACTATTCATAAAAATACAATCAAACTACAATATTACATCAGAACTAATAACAGCTGCTTCCTCTTATAAGAATGCAATAGATATATACTAAACACCTCAGGAAAACAAGAATAATACATCTTTTACAAGGAAAAAAACAGCTTGATCTGCATTCCAGTTCACAAAAGTATAACCAGTTCAAAAAACACATATACTAAAAAATGCTGCCAACAAAGCAGAATATTACTGGTAGTCTGAACAATATCTTTAAAGATAAATTCTTACATTTCACCTTTTCTCCACTGCCAACCATATCAAACAACCATATAGCAGTTAACAAAACAATCATAAAAAAATATCTCAGCTCAACAAAATAAACAATCGACAAATTGACAACAATATGTCACAAAATAGAGAAACTCAAAGAAATTACAGTCTACACAGATTGATCCCTAGACCTAAACCTAAAAATAGGATTTGGCTGGCATATTATCTAAGAACCAGATATCAGCTTCCAAGGAAAAATAATCATGTTTTCATCTTCTACAAAAGCAGAATTCGTAGCAATCTTAACCTTCCTCATGACAGCTCTAGCCAACAGTAAAATCATCATTTACAGTGATAGCCAAGCAGCTTTAAAAGCAATTAATAAAGCATAAACAAATCTGGCTAAACTGAGAGTCCTGAGAAACAACAGTATAATCAATTCTATAATTCATATTTTCTATAATTCATATTATACAGTAGAAAGCCAAAAGCTCATTACAATATGAAAAAAAATTAAAGCATATAGCAATAACAAATACAATGACAGAGCAGACCTCCTAGCAAAAGAAGTAACAATTTCAGGAAAGATATCCAAAATAAAATGTGTACTTATTAGGAATAACAAAGTATAATAGACACAAGAATGGAATAGCAATATATTAAACAACACAATTACAACCTCAATCAAAAATCTCATTAGAACAAAATACATTCTCAACTAGAGAAGCTTGGATCACAATCTCATAACAACCAACAACAACTCTATACTAAACAATATCACATGGGAAGAGTTACTACTCAACAGAGAACTATCAAAACTCATAACAAAATTAACCAACTGAAAAGATTACACTGACAGATCCTTCATAACTAGACTTTGAAATCTAGAACTATCCACCAAGGACAAACTACATAAAAGAGCAGCAAATACCTATATAAACAACCAATCTTTTAACTGTCAACAAATAGAAACCAATATATACTGCATAACATATGAAGGAAATGGAACAGATATATACAAAAAGCTACAACAAATAATAAATAAGAAAGTCAGTAGTAGAAAAAAAAAATCCACAAAGTACAACTTAAACAGAGAACTTAACAAACAAGCAAAATACTGGACATAGGAAATAAAAAACTATATAGCAAGAGGGACTCTCATAGTGGATATGATCAAAACTATTAAAAAATACACGTCAGCAGAAAACCAAAAAGAAACTATCAAAAATATTATTAACAGATTCCTTAACACAATACAAGAAAAGTAGAAACACAGATGCAATAACTTTGCACAATAGAAAAAAGAGCACAACATTACTGCGAAAAATAAAAAACAATAGAAGTTTACAAATATAAAAAAAAACCTATACAAATCCTTCATTCCAGAAATCAACGAGATTATGAAGTATGCCAACTATCACTAGATTAACTGAAATACAATTTACTCATTCAAAACAAAATTTTTATGGAACAGGTAAAGCCTTAACAAATTAGTCAAATATATACTAGTACTTGGCAATAATTTGTATGGTAGGAATATCTTTTAGTGAGTTTAATTAAATAGATAGAGTGATAAATTTGTATATACTTATTGTAAAATATCTAATAAATAAGATGTAAGCCACCCATTTAAAAATTTTTTTAAATTTCTTATAATTAATGAAATTTATAAGACTAATAATTTTTGTTATTGATATTTGATAAAACTAATTAATAATAAGCTAATATCATTGATTAATAAAAAATGTAACAGTTAAAAAATAACAATAAGATTGTTATAATTGATAAAAGAAATATAGTATTATTAATTAATAAAAGTTTATTATCTAGCAATAACTTTAAAAGATTCTAGTATTAGCAGGAAAAATGCATAGTTAAGGTTATGTAATGTGACTTTTGTGTTACATAACTAATTGGCATATTGGCAATTATTTAGCAAATAGTCTTATAACATCATAAAAAGCTTAAACAGTTTATTTTTATATAGTATGATAGTTTATGAATCATATTAGAGATAGTTACATAGCATATTAGAATAGTAATAAATATATAAATAAAAGTAAGAAAGTGTAAAACAAGAGCAGCAATCACAACAAAAATCTAAATCTTATAAATAACAATATTAATTAACATTCTCCTCTATTTAGAAAGGAAGTGCAAAATAGTTA